TACAATAAAAGTAAAATATAAGCAAGCTAGTTAAGGGTATATTTTTCTCTTAAAATAGTTTCTTAAATATATTGGTACCCAAAACACACATACATAAATACACACATACATACACATGCACATACATAGCCACGCTCTAAAATTACATGAACATACACTGAACTTCTGTTAATATATATTTTGACTGTTAAGACTATGCTTTTCTTTAAAAGATAACAAGATCTGAAAATCCAAAAACATAAAATAAGAATGTGTGGGTGAGTTTTCATTTAGAAAGAATTTTTTAAATTTTTTTAAAAGGTACAAAATGGTGTCTTTAGAAGTTTCGTCTATTCAACTGCCTGTCATCCATACTTATAAAGGGCATTTACCTCCAAGATTACTCATTCAGAAAATATAAAATGTGAGTTGAAATATATCATCAAAGAAAAATAAACGCCATTTTAAAAAGACACTTGAAAGTGATCAAGCAAAGAACTTGTATGCATATGTGCATAACCCGTGGACACAGACAATAGGGTGATGAAAGTCTGGGTTAGGGGGCTGGGGGTGGGCTAGAAGGGGTTAATGGGGGGAAAGGAGGACATATGTAATATTTTCAGCAATGAAGATTTTAAAAAATAAATAAAAAGACACTTGAGAGCTATACAAATCATTATTTTCTCTAGTAGATGAAAAGCTAAAGACCTTTCTCAGGGGACCAACAGCAATGGGCAGCCCAGCTCCCAGATTTCCCCTTATATTAGTGGGGATGGAAAGCCTCCAATTTATGAAGTTAAGATTAGAACAAGTGTTAACAAAATAAAGTCAGATACACATTTTTAAAAAATCTGATACCAGACCATTAAGGGAACAAGGGATTACTAGAAATAACTCTCAAATTCTTTCCCACCAATACTTAAATTCTTTTTATAATGCATGTCTGTCAATAATTATGAGAAGGAAAAGGAAAATGAAGACATTACTGTCTGGTAGGTAGTGGTTTTTTTTTGGTGAATTTCATTTTTAAAATTTTATGCTCTCAATGTTAGACATGACATCTTATATGTTTATAATAATTGCATTTGAGATGATTTCTAGAATCTTGGAAAAGAACAATCATCTTCACTTTTAAAAGCTCTTTTTTGAAGAAAAATTGCTCTAACGCTTACCTTTTAAACATCAACCCACATCCTTTATCCACCTTCCCAGACCCTGGATTCTCCCTGACTTGTGACCTATGGGAAACACCTATGGCTTGCAGTCAGCATCTTTGGTTTGAGTTCTAGCTCTGCTCCTTAAGAGTTCTAGAAAAATCTCCTTAAACAGGAATTTCCAATGGAGTTCATTCTATCAGTGTCATCTGGGCAGCTTTTATAAACTTTTAAAGCAGTGTCTTGGAGGTTGAGTAGGGGAGTGAAGCTCATGAATCTATTTTATGAAAAGCTCTCCTAGGTGATGAGAGAGAAGGATGAATTAAGTTTGGGATCTACTCATTGGACTCTCTGAATTACTTTTCTAGCTTGTAAATGTATGGGAATGTATGGGAAAGGGCATCATCAATGGAGAAACCAAATAAATACTAGGTATTATGAGGCAATATTTTTGTGGGGTTTAGAACAGAATCACTTCATTGTCGACCACTTCTGCAGCAACCACCACACATAGAGAATTAGAAATAGCATTATCAATACTGATGATCTTCTGAAACATTAGCAGTCTAAAACCTCAAGGTAAACCAGAACATAACTTTAAAAACACATAAACGGGTATTAAAACCAACAGACAAAATGTTTTTACTGCATTTTAAAATAAGAAAACATCTAAAAATAAATTTCACCCTTTCTGACTTCTTGAATTACATTAAGATTTCATTGTGGGAATCTGTTTCTCAGAGATCCAGTCTTCTAGAAAAATAGAGAGATACTGGAGCTCTCTGAAGCCAAACTAAAGAAAGAAAATGGATGTGCAGATATTGGTCTCTGTTTTTCCTATACCCAAGTTGTTTCCTGGAGCTATAATAAATAAAATGCTAAGGGAGGTTTACTAACTCAGGCCCCATTTTGAGTGTCTTACATTGCATGGAATAAAGGGTATTCTAATAGCCTGGAAAAATACTTCAGGAAATGACTTAACCCCATACAGTTTCTAATTTGTTATAATTTCCAGGATAAAATATTCACCTACAACTTTGAGGTCCCCAGAGGGTTTAATCTACTTACGCTAACACAGAGAGGATGGTAGAAAGGAACTATTATTCTAAAATGATTGTAATTATCATGTTGGGAAGGAAGATCATAGGCTTTACCCTCAATCCATCATAGATGTTTAATTTTTTCTCTTTCATTAAAAGAGAAATATTTGAAGTTTTCTTTTTTTTAATTTTATTCCTGAGAGGGGGTAATCACCTAATAAACTTATAACCTAAATTCATGACCTATGAGTCACAATTCAAGCTCATTAGTTTGATTAAAACTTTGCAGTATCTGGTTCCTGTTCCTCTGTGGTCCCCTAGACTTCCTTTCTCCAAATACCCTTCATTCCATATGTAACTCTTGCTCTTGACCTGGTGCATGCAGAAACAATGCCATGGGTACCGTCATCACCCATGCTCTTTCTTTTCCTGGAAATTCCTTCAGCAATTTATACTCAGTTCAAAATTCAGCTCAAGCATTCTCTCCTTAGAAAGTTGTCTGATCCTCAGCGAGATTTAGCTGATCCTCATCTGGGATTCCCTAGCATCCTAGGATCTTCAGGTAATGGGTCATACCTGATTTGACTTTATATCCATAACATTTAGCTCAGGGTCTGGCACTTAGCAGGTGCCAGATGTTTGTTTGTTGAAGGAATGAATGTAAATGACTGAATGATGTGATCTAAAGATATGTTTCATGAAACCTCAGAGAATCAATTATGCCATTTGCAAGTATTGTAATTACTGTATATTTTCCAATTTATTATATAGTCAGACACAAGGGGGAGTCCTCCCTCAGCAGGACATCTGGGGGAGGGCTACTCAGTACTGAATGGTGCTCTGAAGCACTGCCCTCTGGGACATTAGGGGGTTGTTCTTTTTAGCCAAAGGACACTGTAGGTGTAAGTATGTCAATTTTCAATGTTCAGGTTTGAGGAGCAAGCCCGAGTATAAAAAATCAACTACGGCCCTGGTCAGTGTGGCCCAGTTGGTTGGAGGCACGTCCTGTATACCGAAAGGCGGGTTAAATTCCTGTTTAGAGCACATACCCAGGTTTCGGGTTTGATCCCCGGCGGGCACTGATGGAAGGCAGCCAGTCGATATTCTCTCTCTCTCTCTCTCAAAGTCAATGAACATGTCCTCCGGTGAGGACTAAAAAACCTCTCCTTCCTGATCTCAGTGTAAATACTAAATATTGATTTAACACCAGAAAGTGAAGGGGAAATATTCTAATGTTATATATGAAAAGAAAAAGTAAATAAAATAGAAACGCATCTACTGACATGGGCATTTCAAATAAGTGAAATATTTATAAGATCAAATGCAAAGTGTTAATAGTGGTTACCATGTGACTGTAGAATTAGAGCTGGAGGGAAGAGAGGCAGCTATTGCACTCTTTGTATATTTCTGTATTCTCTGAATTCTTATAAGAAAGTATGACTGTGCTAATTGGAAAAAATTTCTAATAAATGAACCCACCTCTAAGATGACTTTTACCAAAGGCTTACTATAAATTCTCCCATTTAATCTTCAACACTGTGCGGTGAGCAGTATTTTCAACAAAGAAAAAACTAAAACGTAAAGATTGTTAAGTAACTTTACAATATCACACAGCTAATCATTGGAAGAATAAGGACTCAAACATTTATCAGTCCAAATCTGTTTTAGTAATAAGTTTAGTTAGTATAAGATAGCATAATCAAATTTCATTTCTTTATTAGAGTGAATTTTAAACTTTACTTCGAAGAGGAAGTTAATTTGTGTGTGTGTGTGTGAGACCCTGATAAGTAACTTATAACGCCCTGCATGTTAACTCCTGACAAATAACTTGTAACTCCTGATCGACAACTCCCTGCATGTTAACTCCTGATAAGTAACTTGTAACCCCCTGCTGTGCATCCTGATAAGCCCAGAAGGCCACCGGAGCACACTGACATGAGACACTGAAGAAGCCTGTTACAGTAAGTAGACTCCATTTTTGTATTAGCACAAGTTAGCATAAGTAGACCCCATTTTATTCTTAGACCAAAATTTGTAAACAACTCCAAAAATAAGATGTGTGTGTGTGATTGATAAGCTTTGGACATGTACACAACTTTCCCGCCTGAGTGTATACCTAGATAACAGGGCGGCACCCATGTATGGCACCCGATAGGAGACACTGAAGACGCCCAGCTTCAAGGATTTAAGGAGAGCAAATCTGCTGCGGTTCAGACGCCTGTCTGATCCTCCACAGACAAGCCGTTCTCCTCCCCCCTGGAAACTGCCAACTGCCATTCCTGCCCTGCCTTTGAGCCCAGACTGTTAAGCGGCCTCTCTTCCAGTCAAGAGACCGAGCTCCTTGCCACGGTGTATTTGACGACCTCCGTGTGTCTCTGTCAGCGAGTGTCTCTGGGTGGCCTGCCAAGGACTGAAACCTATCAGCTCTCTGGTAAATAAACCTGTGTGATTTCTTGCATTGTTTGTTCCCTATGTCTTCTCTCTTCTTAGTTTTTGGTTAAGCTCGGCCATATTAATTAATAGTAAGTACCCTTTGACGTCTGTATTGGTATATCCAAATGAGGCGCTTGGGTCACCTGTGCGTAAGTTCCCATATTAATTGGAACAAAATCCAAAGCCCTCTAACCACTGTACAATACTGCCTCTCCCGGATGTTTCTGGATATATAACTATTCTTAATTCCCTTTAGCAAACACCAGAGTTTCTTTGACACTTTCATTAGACTATTTTTAGGAAAACTATCTTCCAATAGCTCCCTCCCCTCCCCAAGTGTATCTTTAGAAACAAGAATAATCCTACCTTACTGTCTCATTTGGGATTTACTTACTGTTCACATTGGTCAAGACCATTTATAGCTGGCTGGTGTATCCTCACAGTCCAGTCCCAGTATCTTTGGGAAGAGATTTAAATGCATTAGTCACTCTACTTACAATAAACCAGACTTTCAGGACATTCATGACACAAAGGACTGGCTATCTGGTTATGTTGTATCTCAAACAAGGAAATAGGTTTAAATGTGAGGAAAATTAATTCTTCAAAAATGGGCTTCCTAACTATATAAAATATCCCCATGGGAAACAGAAACTCCAGGCTGCATCTGATGTCGGAGGAAGTGAGTGTTTTATTTGATTAAGCAGCTGACGTGAAGTTTTGCCTACTCTAAGTCAGGAGGGCCGTCTGGACTATTTCACAAGACTCCAGATTCTGCATCTGTTTTTTAATAGCTCTTGAGGTCTATATAAGGACGGACTCTGGGTTATCCAAATGGAATCTTGGATAAGTTTCCATTAATATATCTTATTAATAGAAAAAAATAAGGATTATTTTAAGAGACTGTGAAATTACAACCTGCAAACCATAAAGTGTTAGAATATGAATCAACTCTAAGTGGGAAAGATGTTTGAATTCTCTTACTTAAAAACCCAGTAATAGGTCATTTTAGTATTGTTTTTACATGTGCAAAATGAAATGTTAGAGACAGGAAAGACTTTCTTTGGTATCATCCCTCTAAATCAGCGGTTCTCAACCTGTGGGTCACGACCCCTTTGGGGGTCAAATGACCCTTTCACAGGGTTCGCCTAAGACCATCAGAAAACACATATATAATTACATATTGTTTTTGTGATTAATCACTATGCTTTAATTATGTTCAATTTGTAACAATGAAATTGGGGGTCACCACAGCATGAGGAACTGTATTAAAGCGTCGCGGCATTAGGAAGGTTGGGAACCACTGCTCTAAATGGATGTGAAGGTGACTCAGGTTTAATTCCAAGTTTTGCTACTAGTGAGCTGGATGGCTCATGAATTTTTATCTCAAACACAGGCTTGTATATCAGCTCCTTAATGCTACATGTCTAGTTATCATTTGTTGATTTCTAGATTAATTGCACTGTGGTCAGAGAACATGCATTGTATGGTTTTAGTCGTTAAATTATTGAGACCTGCTTTATGGCTCAGCACATGTCACTTCTTATACATGTCCCATGTGTGCTGGAAAAGAACGTGTATTTTGCAGTTTGGTGAAAGAAGTTAGTCATTTACAAATGACATTGTTTAAATCTTCAATTATCTTCCCTTATATTTTTCCTATTGGCTCTATTAATTACTTAGATACTTAAAAATTGAATATGATGGTAAACTTAAGAACTTTTATTACTTTATGTTGCATATACTTTGAAACTATTAGGTAATTATACATTTACAACTGTTATAAATTACTGATGAATTAAACATTTGTCATTATGAAGTGATCTTTAATTATGCTTTTTGCCTTAATGTCTATCTGACCAGTTTTCTCTTACTTAGAAATTGAATGATATAACTTTTTTTTATCCTTTTACTTTAACCTTTCTGTATATTTAACATGTATCTCTTGTAAAGTGTATATGATTGGCTTTTTTTTTAATCCTGCCTAACAATCATTTAATTTGAACATTTGGTCCATTTGCACTTACTGTCATTTCAGTTTAAATCTGTCTTATTTATTCCTCCTATTTTATGTTTCCTTTATTTTCCTTTCTTGCCTTCTTTTGGTTATTTTTTATGCTACAATTCCCACCACCCCCCCACTCATTGTGTCAAAGTTTTTGATTCTTTTAGTAGATACCCTCAAAATTACAAAAATGCATACTTATTGCCTTTTATAACCTAAAATCAATAACTTTATCTTTTCCCAGGGATCATAAACTATACTAACTCTATTAATTTCTTCCCCTACTTACATATTATTATTGTATTTGGTCATCTTTTTCTCCTGCACCTTTTAAGATGGTCTTTGATGTTTTGTTGCTTCACTGTGTGTCTAGTATGGATTTCTTTTTATTTAATCTGCTTAGGAATTTATAAACTTCCTGAATTTGTGAACTGGTATCTTTCATAATCCCAGAAAATTTTCAGTAATTATTTCCTCATGTAGCAACTCCTGAATGTGGTGAGAAGGAATGATTTTGAGCAGAACTCAATGTGGTATCAATTAATTGTATTGCCTTCAACCTAGCTGCCTATTGTTTATACCCCAAGGAATAGAGAATAAAGTTCTGGGGGATAAAAAGCTGAGTTATTCTGAAAGGACAAGTTTAGTAAAGGATTTGCAAAAACAAAAATGATATAGTAAGACAGAGTCAGAAGACTTCATGTACAAGTTTAATAAACATATTTTTAACACAAATGAGAAGACCTCTTCTTGCTCTCACCTTTATTTCAGAACAGTGAGTAGATCAGGTGTAGGCAGATACAACCACAAAAGAGGAAATGGCATGAGAGCCAACTTTATATCTGAGATAAACTTCGCTAATGGGAGAACAGGAAGATGTTCCGGGTGCTTTAGAACTTGTCACCGCAGGACGAGGGAACAGAAAGGTAGGAACGTGCAGAGAACTGGAATTCTGACTCAGAAATTGCTATTACTATGTTCTAACCAATCTTGGTTGTCACCTTCAAGACTGATGTGGCCTCAAAGCCAAAAACATCAAACACTCCGCGGACAATAAAATTCTGGCAAAAACAGTTCTTTCCTATTGGCCTCCTTCAAGGGGATTCTATCAATTACAGAAGAATTGAATCAAGTCTTTGGAAACGTTAACATTTTATAGTTAAACATCACATGCACAACTTATAGAAAGAACACCAGTTCATCAACCATATTATGGTCTTCAATCCACGGATGTTGCCACTCTCTCTGTTTAGACCCTTCCTATATCATTTAGAATTTGTCTGGCTTCTATCCCATGGCCCATCATTTAATCTCTCACTAACATAAGCTCTAAGTTACCCTTGACTCCTATTCTCCCACTCGTACCTTTTCATGCTTGCTTGGCAAAGATGAAAGAATCAAATATCTGCCTCCTCTCTGCCAATAAGGATCCCAATAGCTGAACACAGCTAGAGAAAAATCACATCCACAGCAAAGTAAATGCATGTTAAGTTCATGATTCCACCTCAAATGCCCATCAAACCAACTTTATCTAGTTTCCTACACTCAAAACTGACTCTGCTTTCTCATTTCTCCTCAAACTTCCTACTTCATTGCCCTGTCTCAATTTTAGCTTATAATCTTGTATACTCCACTGACAACACAATAAATTAGGCAGAAATTCTATTTTCCTATCACTATGCAAATCTACCTGTGTCTATACCTTCTCCTTCCCTGTTTACTACTAAGAACATGGCTCTCCTCCTATGGAAGAGCAATCCCTCCACCTAAATGATGGATCCCAGTGAGAACCCCCTATGAAGAACTTCCCTCCTTCCATCACCCCCTCATTCTATGTTGAAGTAACTCCTATCCTAAAAAAATTACTCTGACTTCACATGCCCCTTTTGCCATTGCCCCATTTCTCTGCTTACCTTTGTAGCAAAATTTCTCAGTAGCTCTTCTTCCACTCACCCTCTCCAATCTGGCTTCTCTCCACAACCTCTCCACTGAAATTTGTTTTGAGGACACCAATGACCCTTGCTGCCAAGTCACCTTTTTGACATCTTGCTCTCTCCACCTTATCTGATACAAGTAAATATCCACTCTTAGAGAGACACTCCCATCTCTGGCTTAAAGGTACTAAAGTGATAGCATATTCCCTTGGTTTTCCTCCACCTCTCCGGCAGCTGCTTAAAATACTTTGGTTCCCCAGGATTTCATCTCTTTTCATCCTACATTCCTTCTCTAGGTGATCTCTTCCAATCCCACGGATTTAAATACCATTCACACCCAAATTGCTCTCTCTGATTCAAACCAGTCTCCCAGTACCTGATCTCTCTGACCCCTATATGTTGGCATCTCCTAGGTTCAGTAATTGAAATGCTTTTCTCTTCTGCGTTCACTCTTGTGTTCTCACTCAGTCTTGTGGCTTTAAATACTACCTACACCCTGGCAACTCCTGAGTTACACCTCCAGATCAAACCTCTCAACTCTTGATTTGTATATCCTTTGGACTATTTGACATTGCCACCTGAATGTCTAACAAGCATCTTAAACCTAACAGATAAAAACTAAATTCCTGATTCCCTATTCCACCTCCCAGCCTGGAATATCGTATCTCAATTGATGGTAATTCCATCCTTCCAGTGGCTCAGCCCAAAATTCTTGGGTGTCACCCTTGCCTTGTCACTTTCTCTCACACCTCCCATTTAATCCATCAGCAAATCTGTCAGCTATACTTTCCAAATATATCCAGAATTCTCCTACCTTCATCATCCGAGACCAAGCCATACTGTCAGCTCTCATTTGAATTATTGCAATAGCCTTCTAACTATCCTCCTCCTTCTGTCCTTATTCAGCTCAGCCTATTCCCTGCTCAGCAACAGAAGGATCACTTGGACTGAAAAACCAGGTCGCATCACTCTCCTGGACACTTAACATGGTCTAATGGTTTCCAATCACACTTAGAATGTGAGGTCCTTGCCATGACTGATAAAGCCTTGAGTGAAAAGACCTTTGGCTATATCTCCAACCTCCTTTTCTACTATTCTTTCCTCACATTCCAGCCAATGAGTTCCTTAGTGTTCCTTAAAAACATCAGGCTTTTACAGAGGCAGAGCAGCATCGAACAGACTGTCTACGTAATACTCTTTGTAATACTTTAAGCAATAAAACAAAATTTAAAAACAAAACAAAACAAACAAAAAAAACCAGGGCTGCTCAGAAAGAGGCTATGTTTTATTCACACTGCCAAAGTCAGTTCTATAGATTTTTAAAATATATTTTTGTTACTGATTTCAGAGAGAAAGGGAGAGGGGGAGAGAGATAGAAACATCAATAATGAGAAACATTGATTAGCTGCCTCCTGCATGGCCCACACTGGGGATCAAGCCCACAACCTGGGCATGAGTCCCCACTGGGAATTGAACTGTGACCTCCTGGTTCATAGGTCGACACTCAACAACTGAGCCACGCCAGCTCTAGTACATATTTTTCTATCTCACAATTTCTATGAGTCAGGAGTCCAGGCATGAATTGATGGTGTCCTCTGCTCAGAGTTTCACAAGCTGCATTCTCATCTGGAGGCTTAGTAAGGAAGAATCCACTTCCAAACTCATTCAGATTGTTGGCAGAATTTATTTACTTGGGCTCTATGACTGAGGCCCCCAGGATTTTTGCAGGCTGCTGACCAAAGTTTACCTGCAGTACTTAGAGGAATCCTACTCACTCCATTAAGAAGTGAAGAGAATCTCTAGTGCATGCTAGCAAGATGGCTGTATGTATGTATTATATACACATATTTTAATGTAGTTGTGAGAGTGACACTCATTGCCTTTGCCATATTCTATTGGTTGAAAGCAAGTCACAGGTCCCACCTACTTGAGGAGAGGGTATTATATAGGGTATGAATTTATGTTTTGGGAAAACTCAAATAACTTGTCTGTGTTTGTAAAGCCACAATTGCCAGGATAAATGACTTTCCCATATTTCTAAAATGGCAGTGATATATTTTTTGACTTTATAGATTTTACTGTAGAAAAGGGGCATTTCTCTGTCTTGTGATTTTTATTTCATCAGACTTTTTTCTTTCTCCTAATTCAGCAGGTTTAATAGTCATTATGACACTTTCAGTGTTGGTGGCAGGAGTGGGAATTCAGTGGCAGTTAAGAATATCTTTGATGAAGCAGTAAAATTATGTCTTTTTAATGTTAAGTGATGAAATGGAAAGTGTACACAAAGAACCAATGCAGCATTTCAAAGTATGATGTTATCTTAAGAAAAAACAATTGTGTGATTGCATTGAGAGCTAAACTAGCCAAGTTTTCGTTTGTTTTTCATAGAACACCATTTTACTGGAAAGAATAAACTATGGTTATTTAGACTTGAGTATTTAGCAGACATTTTCTAAAATATTAAAGAAATAAGCCTGACAGTTTGAGCCAACTTTGCATCTTTGATATAAACTCCACTTAGCTATGATGTACTCTTTTCCATCTATTATTAGATGTATTTGGTAATTTTTGTTGAAGATTTTGTGTGCATGTCTATGAAGAATACTGGTTATTGTTTTTGTTTGTTTTTTAAACAACAGAACTTTATTGTTTCATAGTTCTGGGGACTGGAAGTCTGAGATCAAGGTGTTGACAGGGTTGACGGCATTCTGAGGCCTCTCTCCTTATCCATAGATGGCTGTCTTCTCTCCCTTAGCCTTAGTCTTCACATGGTCTTTCCTCCGTGCATGCATGCCTGTGTCCAAATTTCCTTTTTTTAATTCTTTATTGTTTAAAGTATTACTTATATTACATATGTCTTTTTCCCCCCATTGACCTCTCCCCAACCACTCCCAACCCCTGCACATTCCCTCACCCCCCTACTGTGTCCATTGGTTATGCTTCTATGTATACTCAAAAAAAACCCACAAAAGAAACCAATGTATTTTCTTCTGTGGTTGAGTGGAATGTTCTACAAATGTCAACAAGGTAAAGTTCAACATTGTTCAGGTCTTTTATATCGTTATAGATTTTGTTTACTTGTTATATCAATTACTAAGGGTGCTGATGTATCCAGCTATGTAATAGATTTATCTAATTCTCCTTGCAGATCAGCTTCTAAAGATCTCCTTTTAAAAGAGGTGGATTGACCTCTTTATCATTATGTAATATCCCTCTTTATATCTTCTAATAGTCCTTGTTCTGCAGACTATTTTGTCTGATGTTCATACAACTACCACTCCAGCTATCTTTTAATTAGTATTTGCAAATTATCTATCTTCTCATCCTTTTAAATTTTGGGTATTTTTAAAGTATATAATCCTACTTTTAACATCTAATCTACAATCTCTGCCTTTTAATTGGGGTGTGTAGATCATTTACATTAATATATGTAGTGCTACGGGTGGATTTAAGTCTACTATTTTGTTAGGTATTTTCTATTTGAGCCATTTTTCTTTTGTCATGGTCTTGCCTTCTTTTTTATTGGGTGTTTTTTTAAGATTCCATTTTATCTCCACTATTGGCTAATTAGCCAAATCTCTATTTTTAGTGATGACTAAGGGCTTACATATATTTTTGATTTATCACAATTTACCTATTTTTAAATAGTGTTATACCACTTCACATAAATTGAGACCCTTACTACAGTACACTTCCATTTCCTCCCTTATTATTTGTTATTGTCATTTTAATGTGTTAGTCCAGTTTTTGCTTTAGATGAGGGGTTGAAAAATTATGTCCAGCAAGCCAAATCCAGCCAATGACCTGTCTTTTTGTGTGATCCCTGAGCTAAGAATGGCTTAATTATTTTCCAAAGGGTTGAAAAATGAAGAGTGAGAAATCAAGAGAAGAGAATGAGAATCTGTTTCTTTGCTCTGGTTATCTTCACAAAAGTCTCTTTATCTGTGGTCTTTAGTAATTCGACTATGATGTGTCTAGGCATTTTTATTTTTAAATTACCCTACTTAGGCTTCTCTGAGCTTCTTAGAACTGTTATTTTTAATTCATTTTTTAAAAATCCTTAGCCTTATTCTCCAAGTACTTCTGCTTTGTTTTTTCGCTTTTCTCCTGAAATTCCAGTTACATGTGTGATAATTTGATTTTATCCCACAGC